TGAGCCATTAGTATTTGCTGAAGAAAAAAACAAATAGAATATTTGTCTGGTTTAATTTCTGGTGAGGACTAAAATCTGATTGTTGTAAAAAAAAAAAACATTCTTCCACAATGAGAACTCACTTGTTTTTATTTCATTTGCATACAGTGAAGCTTCATCACAAGCCTGTCTCAAAAAACTGGTGAACATCCCTCAAATATAAAAAGAAAAACAGATGCGAGCTCCTCGATGGCCTGGTGGAAGTCGTGGTGGGCAGTCGAACAGCACGTGCAGTTTTAAAGGTCAGGACTGGGGGGGGGGTGTGTGAAGCATGTGGAAAGAGTTTCTTTGGAAAAGCACAGAGTAACAACAACAGTAGCTCCTTGGGCCAAGAAGGACAGATGAACTCTCTGGGGGTCTTATTGGTCTGCAAAATGCACCCCAGGTTACACTGGCACACACACACACCACACAGTATAACACAAAAACACAGAAGAGCAATCATGGCTACTGTAAATAATTTCTGTTCATCAGCTTCATTTCCTGAAAATAAAAATATTGCACAAAGAAATTATTTGGATACACAAACTGACACAGGAGCTGTGGAGTAAAAATCTACACAAGCAACACATTTTTACACTGTAAACAGGAAATATTTTGTGTTGCTGCCCAGAACTCGTCCTCTTTTAGTCACTTTAAAGCAAATTTACTTTAAATAAACGTGCACTTTGGGTGACGCTTGTTAGTTTTGTACTTAGTCACCTGTGTTTTTTAAATGCAAGAAATCTGAACATTTACACACAAAATAAACTTGGGTATTAAAGTAGCCGGACCTGGAGGTGGGGTACACTAGCGAGCGCCTGGTGGCCGGGCTTTTACCCATGGAGCCGGGCACAGCCCAAAGAGGAGATATGGGCCTCCTTCCCATGGGCTCACCACCTGTGGGAGGGGTCAAAGGGGTCGGGTGCAATGTGAGATGGGTGGTGGCCGAGGGTGGGGACCTTGACGGTCTAATCCTCGGCTACAGAAGCTGGCTATTGGGACGTGGAATGTCACCTCACTGGTGGGGAAGGAGCCTGAGCTGGTGTGTGAGGTTGAGAGGTTCTGGCTAGAAATAGTCGGTCTCACCTCGATTCATGGCTCTGGAACCAGTTTCCTTGAGAGGGGTTGGACACTCTTCCAATCTGGAGTTGCCCCTGGTGAGAGGTGCCGAGCAGGAGTGGGCATACTTGTTGCCCCCCATTTTGGTGCCTGTACGTTGGGGTTCACCCCAGTGAACGAAAAGGTAGCCTCCCTCTGCCTACATGTGGGGGGATGGGTTCTGACTGTTTGTGCTTATGCGCCAAACAGCAGTTCAGATTACCCACCCTTTTTGGAGTCCTTGGAGGGGTTACTGGAGAGTGCGCCTCCTGGGGACCCCCTTGTTCTGCTGAGGGACTTCAACGCTCACGTGGGCAATGACAGTGAGCCCTGGAGGGGTGTGGTTGGGAGGAACGGCCCCCCGATCTGAATCCAAGTGGTGTTCTGTTATTGGACTTCTGTGCTCGTCATAGATTGTCCGTAACGAACACCATGTTCAAGCATAATGGTGTCCATATGTGCTCTTGGCACCAGCACACCCTATGCTGCAGTTCAATCAACTTTGTTGTCATCTCATCTGATCTGCGGGTGCATGTCTTGCACACTCGGATGAAGAGAGGGGCAGAACTGTCCACTGACCACTATCTGGTGGTGAGTTGGCTCTGATGGTGGGGGAGGTTGTCAGTCAGACATGGCAAGTCCAAACGTATTGTGAGGGTCTGCTGGGAATGTCTAAAGAGTCTCCCGTGAGACGGAGCTTTAACTCCCACCTCCAGGAGAGCTTCTAACGTATTCCGGGGGAAGTGGGGGACATTGAGTCTGAGTGGGCCATGTTCTGCTCATCTATTAGCGGTGCTTGTCATGGCGGTAACCCTTGTACCTGGTGGTGGACACTGGCAGTGAGGCTCTACACCCTCAGCAGGGTCCTGGAGGGTGCGTGGGAGTTTGCCCAACCAGTTTACATGTGCTTTGTGGACTTTGAGAAGGCGTTCGACCACCTCCCTCTGGGAACCCTGTGGGGGGTATTCCGGGAGTATGGGGTACCAGACCCTTTGATACGGGCTGTTAGGTCCCTATATGACCAGTGTCAGAGCTTGGTCCGCATTGCCGGCAGTAAGTCGGGCTCGTTCCCGGTGACAGTTGAACTTGCTAAGGTTGCCCTTTGTCACCGATTCTGTTCATAACTTTTATGGACAGAATTTCTAGGCACAGCCAAGGTGTTGAGGGGATCCGTTTTGGTGGCCTTAGGATCGTGTCTCTGTTTTTTGCAGATGATGTTGTCCTATTGGTTACATCAGGTCGTGATCTACAGCTTTTGCTGTTGAGGTTCACAGCAGAGTGTGACATGGCCGGGATGAGGATCAGTTCCTCCAAATCCGAGGCCATGGTCTTGAGCCGGAAAAGGGTAGAGTGCCCTCTCCGGGTCAGAGAGGCGGGCCTGCCCCAAGAGGAGGAGTTTAAGTATCTTGGGTGCTTGTTCACGAATGAGGGAAAAATGGAGCGCGAGATTAATAGGTGGATAGGCGAGGCGTCAGCAGTGAAGCGGGTGCTGTACCAGTCTGCCGTGGTGAAGAGAGAGCTGAGTCCAAAGGCGAAGCTCTCAATTTACCGGTCAATCTACGTTCCTACACTCATCTATGGTCATGAGCTTTGGGTTGTGACCGAAAGAACACGTTCACTGATACAGGCGGCTGAAATTAGTTTTCTCTGCAGGGTGTCTGGACTCTCCCTTAGAGAGAGGGTGAGAAGCTCGGTAATCCGGGAGGGACTCAGAGTAGAGTCGCTGCTTCTCCACATCGAGAGGAGCCAGTTGAGGTGGCTCAGGCATCTGGTTAGGATGCCTCTTGGATGCCTCCCTGGTGAGGTGTTCCAAGCATGTCCCACCAGGAGCAGACCCACAGGAAGACACAGGACATGCTGGAGGGACTATGTTTCTTGGCTGGCCTGGGAACGCCTTGGGATTCCCCCGGAGGAGATGGCCCAAGTGGTTGGGGAGAGGGAAGTCTGGGCCTCCCTACTTAAGCTGCTACCCCATGACCCGACCCCGAATAAGCGGAAGAAAATGGATAGATGGATTAAAGTAATAGTCCAGATCTCTAAAATGGAGTTCAGTGGAAAGTAATGAACAATGAATCTGTTGTGAATAGTTTTTTGAATTATCTCAGTTTGGATAAATCAAACTCAGCTCTGACAGGGACCTAAAGTAGATTGCTGCAGTAGCATAAGCTAGGTGTGACACTCCCCCAATGAAACTGGAAATTTGGAGTCGTTTTCACTGGGCCCCACCTGGACTGGGTTTGTCAATCAGTCAGAATTTAACTCGTTTAAACAACTACCTACAACAGGTAAGCAATTGTTTATAATCTTTCCACAGAATCCTGTTTTAAAATATTTAAATTAGCGTATTATTTTAATCCGTAGGAGTTAGCCCCAGCAGGTTCCCTCATCTCCCCATTTCAGCCTCAGAACAGTAAATTTGCTAAAGTAGGCCTCAGCCTACACACTCTGCTCATCATGTGATGGCACAGAGGAAAACAAGGTTATAAATCTATTCAAAATGCTTTGCAAGGGTTTGGGCCTACCATAACATAATCCTAATTTCAATAACGAGACTCAGTAAATCCCAAGCTAAAGTAAAATTAAAAACCAAAAACCTCTTGGGCCCTAAAGGTCAAAGTATTTATAGTATATAGTATACCATACATCATGGAACTTAAATGAAAAACAAAAAATTGTGGGGGGGGGGGGGGGTTTCTCAAAAAGGTCATATTTCTGAACATTTCCTCCTTGTGGCAGCATCACTGGAGTTTTGAACCTATTTCCAGGCAAACATTTTTCACTGCCACACCAAAAAGAAAATAAATAAAAATCTGAACAGATTCAGCTGTTTAAGGTACAAACATGCAGTGCCTAAAGCACCATGAGGCTAATTTATCCCAAAGAAGGTTTTAGAAAGTGTTAAGCCACACAAAGAGCAACATCATGACCAGATCTGATTCCAGACTCTGTCATTGTTAAAGGGTAGAGTTCTTCTCTTCATGCGCAAGATGGTCAGATGTCATAACTGTTGTTTAGAAGCTCTCCAAAGATGGAAAAGATTAAATGAAATGAAAAGCATTGTGCGCTGGACGGAGCAGTTGATAGAATCACTGTAATGAGCTGCATCAGTGTTTTGCAGAAAAAGACCGAGTGTTGCACCAGGAGAACAACAAGAACCAACATCTGGGTAAGAAAACAATGAAAGGCATACAATCTACTTTACCTCACTTCCTTAAAGCGTGTTGATAATCCTAATTAAACAGACTTAAAAAATAAATCCTATGAGCTCCTGCTGCGCATCCATTGGTGAGCTATCTAAATATACAGATAAACATAAACAGATCCTACCGATGAGCAAATTAGCGACAGAATTATAAATCAGAACATTTCATAGTAAAACATATGTCCCAATCTAAAAAAAACAGCAAATATATAAACAAATACACAGCTGTTGATGTCATAAAGAGCACTGAGCACGCAGTTTTACTTCTAAATTCAAATATCCTGTAGTAAAAAAAGTGCTGAAAACAAAAGTTAGGTATGATTTCCTGCAGGGAACAACACATGAAACACTGCTGGGAATGTCTAGATCTCCTTTAGTCTCTTTCATAAGAGTTTCTTACAGCAAACATACAAAAGCAAATATAAATTACCAGAATAAAGACATGTGCACATTTTGCAGTCCTTCCATGGTGATCATTTAAAGTCAAAAAAGAACTGAGTTTAAAGACAAACATGCAGCCCGGCTCACGGCAAATGGCGTGGCTTTCAAGACTCCCTTTAAAATCCTGCAGCGTGAACGTGGAACCATACAGTGCAAATGATACCAGTAACAAATTCACTAAACCACTTTATTGTAAGAAAGCAACGTGTGAATTTAACGATTGACCTCAACATCTTCCATATTAAAAATGGACGGCTGGAATTTCCATATCAAAATAAACTGCAGGTCATTTTCTGGAAAGCAAAAGCATGATGCACGTTCTTCTGTTTTCTCTTTAAAACGGTATCTACTGGAGCGCCTCGACACAGATCTGTTCCTCACTGATTTCATCCATGAGCTGCCCATCCACAGGGCTGCATGTGTCACTGTCATACACCTCTGTTCCTATCAGGGCTTCTTCCTCCAGGCTCTCTGCTTTGCCTTTAAAGCCTTGCTGCTCTGAGGGAGATGTGCTCTCCACTGATTCCAGGTCCTCTATACCTGCTCGGTAATGAATCATTAGCAAGGTGAGTGCCTGGAGTCTTTCACCAGACTTGGCCAGAGCTGTACTGATTAGGGCCTTACGCCGAGCATCTGTGGCCTCCCTTTCCTCCACCAGAAGGCCGTTATTGTGCTCTAGCTCCTGGTCGATTTCCTGCTGAAGTTTGTCCAGCATTAACTCCAACTTCTGGGAGCGTTCATCTGTGGGCAGCCCTCTATACAGGTCGCGGCCTATCTCCTTCACAGCAATGAAGACACTGTCGTCCAACCCACCCTCCTTTCGTGTGAGTTTAGTGCTGCCAGCACTGCCAGCAGGCTGCTTTGATGGGCTCGCACCACTGGTGTAAGTCTCTGTGTCACTGCTCTCATTGTCAGAGGTATTCGGAGTTTGCTCGGGCAAATCAGTCACCTGCTCAACAAGTCGAGTCTTTTGCGCCTGGCGAAAGTTAAGGAGGCGTGAGCTGGTATTGAGGATATGGCGTGTTAGGCCAGTGGCCCGGTTTATGGTGGGCTTGGCTTCAGGGTCAGCTCCACAACGTTCAGCTGTTGCCACACAGAAAGGACTTTCACTGAGGCACTTTTCCTGGCACTTCTTGTGGCAAACATAGCTACAGAGCATACACTGAGAGGCTGCCTTGGTCCAAACCTTTTTTGTGCAGTAATTACACCATGTAGGGTTCTGAAACTGGGTGTCTTGGAAGTTGTGTCGAACATCAGTTGACTGTATGGTGCTGTAAGCTAAGTCATCACGTGGAACTGAGGGGTCAAGTTCTCTTTCCCTCATATCCTCTTCCTGGAGGCTCCCTTCCCCCTCCCTTTCCGTTAGTCCCACTGGACACTCTAACTCACCTTCAGCTAAGTAACAGAAGTTTAAGGTAACATCTCCATAGCACAGCTTCTCATTGAAGCCCTTGTGAGTGCTGAGACTGCGTAGTGCAGTGCGGCTGACATTAGCTCGTGGCTCAGGAGGCAACAACCTAAAGGAGCTCTGGTATTCAGCAGATGATGTGGCCAAACATTCTAGGGCTACATGCTCCAGCTGGAGGCTGACATGACCCAAACATAACAAACTACCAAGTTTAAAGGGATCTTTGCACCACAGGGCCACATTAAGGTACTTATGGTTGGTGTCCACCTCAAACACCACTGAGGCCTTGGGCCAGTGTGCTGTCTGGTTACGAAACGTGGTTTCTGTGGATTCCCAGACAGAGTGCTCCTCCAGACTGTCTCGTGTGCTGCAGGAGCTCTCTGAAACCTTGTCTTTGGCTTGATCAACCTTGCTGTTGCTCACAGAGGAAGAACCAAGCACATCATCACTAGACTCTGTTGGCTTGACAGATTGCTTCACTTCTGGTTGTTTGACAGATATTTTCTCAGCACTAGTCTTATCCTCACTGCCTGCAGTGAGTGGGACTTTCTCTGGAGATTTTTCAGATGAGCTGACAGTGGTAGTCATAGTAGGAGCAACAGAAGCAACAGTAGTCGTAACAGAATCAACAACTTCCAAAAGACTGGTTTCTGATGATGCTGATGTCAGCTTTATTTGAGGTCGCGGTGGGACTGGGGGTCGAGAGGGAGGAGGTGGAGGAGGGACAGTGGGACGTTGCAGACCCTCTCCTGTATCACTACTGGTCTTATGCAGTGAGGGTTTTGGTGATTCTTTGGGTTGAGGTTTTAATGGTGACTGCAGACCCACAAGGTTTAGCTTGCGGTTAAGAATTGGTGATATGGTACCAAGAGGCTTAGAGGCCAAGTTGGCCACTGTCCTTTTAGGGCTTTGGTTTACTGTAAGCAAAAAGTCTTCCTTAGTCTCATTTGGATTTGTTGTACTGTTGTTGGGTGCAGTATTCTGGCCAGGTTGGGGGCCCACAATCAACTCCTCAAACTCAGAGTCCATGTCTTTGCTATCAGTTATATCAGAAAGAGTGGTGATAGGGGCAGGGTCTTCTTCATAACCTCCTGGATGGGGAATAAAACCCGTTTCCTCTAGCTGTCCAAGTCCTTCCTGCTGAGTTCCAAGGCTTCCCAAAGCGGGACTCTGATGACGAACTGGTCTCTCGTAAAATACCACCACCCTTTCCCCAGCCTGTTTCAACAGTTTGGGCACTTGAACTGAAGAAGTCACTTTGACACCTGTCAACAGATTAAGCACAGGGCACACATTTGAGGCCAGAAATATAAACAGTTGTTGGTTGTCTTTTAAACTTTGAACATAATATTATAGTTTTATAAAACAATATATTTGCCATTTCAAGTTGTAAAACATTTCACACCTCCAATAGAAATAAGGCGATCGCCCTTCTGCATGTCGGCCAATGCTGCAGGGGAGTTAGGTGTCACAGTCTCTATGCAGACGTAGACTGCATCCCCCTCATAGGCAGGAATTTGTCTGAATGTCATCCCCACACTGCCAGATGTTCCCTTGAAAACCTCCGTCTGGTTCAAACATAAAAAGAGAGAAAAAGAACAATTAGGACCAACACTGACAGCAAGGTTATAATCCAAACATGTTGTTTAACAACTTGTACTTATCCTTTAAAAGTTATTTTAAAATGTGTGTGTTTGTGTGTGTGTGTGTGTGTGTGTGTGGGGGGGGGTATCACAGTGATTATATTGCAACAAAAACATATAGAATGAACACTGGGGCTAAATGATGTTTAATGTTCCAAGAATTTAGAATTTTGAACCTGTGAAATAACCATTTTTGGCTCTGATGGCCATTGTTGAATTATGGCAATATTAGATTATGATACTCATACGGACAGAACAAAATAAGGAGCTCAATGCCACTTGTGGCCTGGGGTACTAGGACCCCACCCTGAAGCCAGGTCTGGGGGAGAGGCTCGTCGGTGACTGCCTGGTGACCATATGAGGACACTCAAGTGCTCAAATGCTTCAATCAAGATCATGTCACTTAGGTAAAGTTTGTTGACTGAGGTAGCCATCACATGAATGACAATAAATTTTAATTTTAATTTTTTAGAATAATACTTATACAGCCTAAAAATTGGCATCAATGATGAAACAAAGTTCAAGGTAACATCTCCATAGCACAGCTTCTCTGATGACCTCACTGTCATCAGAGCCACTCTGCCAATAGGACCATGCCGCTGTAGATTTATTTCTTTTTCCCTTTTGGCTCCTTGTTTCTGTATTTTTGTTGCATGCTTTGAATAAATCCCAGTTTATGTTAGTTTTGAAGTCGGCTCCGAGCCCGACTCCGCTCGCATTAAGCATGCAAATTATAACCTAACAGAACCTATGAGAATCATGTTGCTGTTTTTCAGTGTAATGCTTTGCACCATTAGTGTCTGGCATATATCTTTAGATCTTTTAGTGAACCATTGGGCGTTCGTTTAGCGTATATCTTATCTTAGATCCTTATTTATTGTTTCTTTTTACAATTTATATTTTTGCTATTGTTTGATGTAACTGGGATCTGTGTACACAGTCTTGTTCCACCTCATGTACCACATGTGATGCAAATGACAATAAAGAACTTTGAATTCTTGAATCCTTAAACAACCTCATAAGGCATCACATGCCAATGGAAGTTTGAGGTATATTTGTTAGTCGATTATTTCTGGTATATAAAGATCACTACTGGTAACTTTGCCACTTCGTACTTATAGTTACACACCTTTTACATCAGATCTCGAGTAAACATTGCATGACATTTTTGACTAAACATCTTGAATTTAGACTTGTTTGTACCAGTTCTGTACCAGTCAACTTTATATAACAGCAGAAAATCCCTGGTCCACTTCAGTCTCTTCTTTTTTTCAAGGAAAAAAAATGTTTTTAATCGTAAGCAATTTAAACGTTTTTGACAAAAATTGAATTTCATATAAATTTCACACATGAGAATTGTAACAAACACTGAAAATTCAAAGTCTATTGTTATTTTTGATGAGTGCTGTTTATAATTTATCTGTTTAGGCTATATTTAAGAGTCAATAAATCTAAAAATCTATCAATATAAAGTAAATGTTTTATACTGTATATACAGTTTCCATTGTTCAACAAAGGTGTGACTTCAGTAAATGCAAAGAAATAGATTTAAAACTTCTTCCAAACATAAATAACACAACCCTATACACACACGCAGTTTTGAATACAACCAAAATGAAAATGGAGACTGTTAAAAATAAACATATAACAGAGAGTGTTAATCAGGTTAGATCAGATTGATTAAAACAAACTCCAATGATAGTTCTCCATATCCAAGTGTGATGTCTTTAGTTCTTTGATGAGAGACTCAGACTGAAAGAACAAAGAACTGTAATTAAAACCCAATTCCAGCATCAGAAATAACAAGGTCCAAGTTACCCACAACACACCTGTGAAGCGTAGGTGACCTGTTTTATGCCCGGCTGCTTGTCTATCAAACAACAACTGCTGCATGATAGCAACACATGCATACCTTATAACAGTGATTAAATGGGTGCACTTTTAAGTGCAACTAGTAAATCAAATACACCATATATGACGAGCCATTTCTGAATGAACCAATGAGCAACATGGAGTGGACATACGCAGATAAGTACCATAAAGCAAGGACAAGTGTGGTCCAGGTGTCCTGTTTTTATAGAGAAATGAGGGACAACATGATTTGAGGAGACAAAGACAAATGACTGTAATTTGTCACAGTTTAGCTGGAAGGTAGTGATTGAGTTAGGCCTGTCCCTGAATAAGCACATGATCTATAAATGTTGGCATGGTGAGGTAGGGCTGCGGGTGGGGTCTACCAGCGGATACCTAAAGCTGGCTTGTCTAAGGACAAGTCCTGAGCTACAATAATGAGTTATCCTATTTCTAACAAGTCAGGGTGATCAAAACTGTGTTCAAAACAAATTAATATTTAGGAGCAGCAGCTTCCAACTATTCAGTTATTGGAGTTATGGTTCTGTATTTTTCACGTACTTCTCTAGTTCTGCAAAAATGCACAAGTACACAAAAAGTTTTCAAATGTCCATGATAGTCAGACAGTCATTTGCATGTCACGTTAAAGAGTCTAAACAAGTAGATTCATTATCTATCCATTGCATTATTCTGTTGTAGTTGCTCAGCCACTGAAATTAGTGATTCGTGAAGACACTACAACAGGAGCAGGTACTGGTCTGTGTGGTCTCCACTTTGTGTCAGCAGTTATAAACAGGACAACAAGGTTTGGGAACGTAAGGAAATGCATTGTGACACTGGAAGTATCCCTGCAGGGACTTTGAAACAAGACAAGTTGCAGGGTTTGATCCAGTTTTGTCATGCTAACGCTCCATCAAGAACTATGGGGATAGATTAAGAAGCTATAGCTTCACATCCACAAATGACAGTACTCCTCAGGTACGTCCTGTTGCCAAACATTGAATGGAGGCTGTATTCAGCCAGAGAAAATGCTAAATGCAGGAATATTAAGCAGGATATTAGAAACAGAGAAGACATTAATTTCCATTTTATATCAGGTTAACCAATCTATTTAATATGGGGTGTCACACTGAAACAAGCATCAACTTTACTGTTTCTGACAGGGACAGCTCACCATTCTTGTGGCTGAGAAGATGGAGAGAAAGGGAAAAGACTATTGAGGGTGCACAAAAATAAAAAGGAACATACGAAGAGATGAATGACTTGACAAATACTAAAAAAACCTACTAAAACCAACATACAAATTGTTTATTTTAATGTTGCCTATATTTCTTATAGTGAATACTTATTTAATAAATAATTCATATAAATGTTTTTCCCCAGTGTGTCAAAAAGTAAAACTACATAAAGAAAAAAGAACGTAGTCTATCAGGGGTCACCAACTAAATGTGCTCAGGGGCCAGAACGTTTTTGAGCAGACTTTGTGAGAAATATTTTTTAATAATAATAATAACAATATCCAACTTGACAGCTGTGAGGCTTTAACATTTATTAACATTTAGTCTCAAAAGGCATAATGTTATTTCTCCCATTAATCAAACATGCATTTCAGCTTTTTTTGTTGTGTTTTATGGTGTAAAGATGAATGCATTTTAATTTTGCATTTAACTGCTGTAAAGGAATCAGTACATGGAGACTGCAGTCTCAGATACTGATCCTTGCCCCATCTGGGCTAGCACCTGCTGCTGTAATGAGACATGCTTCTGTGCCTCCTGTTGCCAATTATCCGTCAATGAAGCGGTCTCAAATTGATTCAGTGATATTGGTGACTTGAAACGAGAAAAAAACACAAGTCACTGGCACGTAAATGTAGCTACAATAGTTTAGCTATAGCTTTGGTAATGCATGTCTGATCGTATAAATGGCCATGTGCTAATTCACTTATGTTGAATGCAGCTGGTGGGGCTGACGTAAAACAAGACCAGAGGTGAGGTCCAAGTCAGGAAAACACGTCGTAAAAAATAATGTGATCAGATCTCGAGCAAAGATTTGAACGTGATCCTGAAAATAGTTTTTATGCACTTTCTTTTCTCTCTGATGTTTGTCCAGCTGAAGAGGAAGTGATGGGTGTATATGAGTAAAATAAGTTAAAACAAACAACAACAAAAAAACATACTTCAGTGATCACACCCAGAATAAAAAGATTTAACATGGTTTATTCTTTTTATTCTTTTTTACTTAAGTTTTTGCTAACCAATCTAGGTTTGAGGTTATTTGAAAGAAATCCTTAAAACGTAACATTTCACAGGTTTTTGTTCATTTACAAAGAATTACATGTTTGATAAACATCATTTTAAAGTGATCTTTTTGTTTACTGGTATCCATTACCAGTAACTTGATGAATAATAAACTTAAAAGTGAGACGTGTCTTCTTTCCGTGTGAACTTTCCTGAGGGGTGGTGGTTGCTCGGTGCTGTTCCAAACCACGGTTTAATTGTTGCGTGCTGGTGCTTGTTCTCAGGGCTGAGCGGCCATGATTGCTCTAACCTTGTTAACATCGACTAAAACAACAAGCTGCTCCTGGTTTTCTTGTCACTGAGCAGAAAAGCCAAACGCAGCACGTAGGAGCCTGAACTGGTCAGATGGAGCAATCCAACATCTATTTTTGCAAATCCAGCCACTCTTTTATCTGTGCTACTGCAGAGAACAAATGAAAGGTTAATATGTCCAAATTGCAGCTATCAATGCTTTAGAGTTCTGTTCTTTACCTCTAGGACAGAGACACACACTGGTCTTGCTTTGAACTCTAAAAGAAAACACTTATCATGATAAAAGACCTCTTTCATGCTTTCTTTTACAATCTGACAAAAAATGGGCTTCATCTCACAAATAAAAGCATCCCACATGCAACTTGACCGTGACGTAGTTAAAGTAATGCTCTGTTCATGTAATTTATATTGTTCTCCACAGACACTACATTACAACATGTACATTACTGAAAAAGAACAACAACAACAACAACAAAACAGCTCTACATTTTGTGGCAAAAGCCCCAGTTGTTTGTAAAAGAATGT